GTACGTACTCCACTAACCTACCCTCCGGAGTTTACTTACTAATTAACTACGTACACACTCGTGTGTAAGTAGATTGTTTAGTTTACTACGAGGACGAGTCGTCTCTGATCTTCAGGCCACTTATGAGCTCTGCAACCCAGGGAACTCCGACTACACACACACACACACACACACACACACACACACACACGAATCTGACCTGGGATCCCTTTGCAGAAACTTATTCACATCCAAGAGGGTCCATGTTCAGTCCTTCTAAGGTCGATTTTTGGTGAATGTAATCACCATATTTAATAAAATGCATCTGAAGTCTAGAACTAGCATTTGAATCAAGCCTAACTCCAGAGCTTGTTCTCTCAGTTACATTGATGTGATGATTATAATTTGTCAAAAAAACTCCCAAAAAACCCTAATATAATTACTGAGATATTTACAGTTAAAATAAAATTGAGGTTGAAATGAGTAATACTAAGTTGTGAGAACAGAGACACCCTGAGGAGTCAAGAAGATTCCTTTAAATAACTGTCTGCAGATGAACAAAATCTCTCCTTTTGACAAGAAAGCCCAATGGTAACTTTTATCCTGGTTTCATATTTCAACAGTTTGACTAGGAATATCGCAAAAAAAGGTTTAAAAAAAAAACGCTGAGTCATAAGGGTCCTTCAAAAAAAAAAGAAACTTCTCTTTAAAGTGGTAAATCTTCACTTCCGCTGGGAGGAGGGTGCCCCTCAGGGATGGGGGTGCCAGTGCACGGGAGCGGATCTCCTTGCTTTATTTATTCACAACCCACATACTTCTCTGGATTTAATTCGGCTAGTTAACTTAGCAGCAGGACACTAGGCTAGGAAGGCTCAGGAAGACTCTCTGGGTTAGCTATTTTGGGATGTTAGGATGAAGAGGTCTTAACATATACAACCGGATCTTCCTGCCGGCAGATTTTCAAAGATGCTCAGCCACGCTTCATCCTCATGCACACTCTCCCGCTCCCCAATAACTGTAAAGTGCAAACAAAACAAAACAAAACAAAAACAAAAACAGAACACCTTGCCAGGGCCTGCAGAAAGCGCAGCGCCTCCGAGGCTAGCACGCTTTCCCCCATCCTCCCCGGAGAAGCGATCCCAGCACCTCTCCCAGTGATGTCAGTGGAATCCTGAGCCCGATCCCGCCTCCACGGCCGTGGGGGAGGGCGAGATGGTGCTCTCGGCTG